TCACCATCTGTCAACATAGGAAGACGTTACAGAATCATTGGCTGTAGTCTGCATGCTGCCCTTCCATCCCTGTGACCAACTTATATTATGATTGAGATTCTGTGCTCCTTCATTGCCCTCACCCTGAACCCCTTCGCCATGGTAACCACCAGTCCCTTCTCAGTGTCTAGGAGTGCTATTTTGTTCACTTTGTCTTGGTTTGGGTTTAGATTCCACATTACAAGTGAAATCCTATGGCATTTGTCTTTATCCCCCTGGCTTATTTCACTTAGCATAGTATCCTCTACGTCCCTCCATGTTGTTGCAGGTGCCTCTTTTTTTATGTCAAACATGTAGAGAATATCCTTAGGGCAGGGGGCAAAACAATGTGGGTTTACTTAAACTGGAGGCCATTAGTTTGACGTATGTCTAATGCCTTAGCAGCCTACGTAAGCAAACCAAAGTTTGTAATGCCTCAAGATTAAGAAATGGAAACCTAACGACCACAAACAGCCAATAGGCTTTTCCAAATAATGTAAGCACTTAAGTTACAGCCAATCAAATGGTTTCCTTGCATTGTTTTCACTGTTTTCTAAAAAAAATCTTGCCCCTAGCTCCTGTGGGTGTAGTGCTTCTGATCACTTCTGGTTTGGCACTGGCCAATTTGATTTGACTTTTATTCAAATAAACTCTAAAACTTTTAATATGCCTCTGTTTATAACACTAGTTATAGTGGGGTTAGGTATAATTTTTTTAAACATTCAATATTATAATTTTATATTTGGGAAAAAAAATATTGTTCTCATAAACTAGACATTGTAAGTAACCTAGACAGTATCTTCTTGACAAGGATTTTCAACTGGAGGCCAATTTAAGGTTTTTATAATTGTCAAAAGAAGAGCATGAAAGTGGTTTAGGGAAGCTGAGACACACTGAACCATGGAATTCTATTATTAAACTTCAGAACACCTGGAAAACTGCTGGCCTTACTTGCTGAGTAAATAGCAGTAGAAATAGTAATGGTAATGACAATAAGCAAAGTTGCAGTAGTGATGGCTTCTACTTCCACGCAGTCTACTTGGGCCAAGTACCATTCTAGAGGTAACTTCGTTGAATTCTCACACTTCTGTGAGGTGGGTGAATTACTTGCTCAGTGTTATGCAGATTTGTAGCCATTCTTTGACACATCCCTTGGACTACCAGAAGAATAATAGATTTTCTATTGTTAGGGTTTCTGGCCCATTCTGAGGAGGACAAAAAGCCTTTACTTTTAGAGGGGGTTCTCAGGACTTCTACTGTTGACCTGGTCTCAGAATGGGCCTCCTTGTTTCCAGAAATTCCCTAATTAAGAGCCCACATATGTCCTGAGGCACCATAGGCTCTCTTGTTCCACCAAGGATCAGAAAACTTTTATTTCAAATATTCATTCCAGAATAAAACAAATAACTAGGTGCTGTCATCTTGCAAATACACCAAAACATGATAGTGAGGTGACTTCTTTCCCTCCCTCCTCGGCTTGCTTTCATTCTTTCTTCCTTTCTCTCTCTCTCTCTTTCTCTTTCTTTTCTTCCTCCCTCTCTCCTTCCCTCCCTCCCTTTCTTCTGTGTATCTATTCAACAGGCAAGTACTGAGGGGCTTCTTTGTACCAAGGCCTAATGATAGACGCTGGGACGGTGTGATTGTGATGTACTAAGAAACATATGTTTTGGTCTTCTCCTGTTCCTGGCTCAGAGCTCCTAAAGCCCTTGGAATTTCTTGATGGGGGTGACTGGAGCATCTTTTGTTATTCATTATAAGCCCTTCCCAGTCAGACCTGAGCTTATGCTAAGGAGGTGGTTACTGGAGAATGGGACTACCAGAAGAACCAACCCTGAGTTCAAAGGGTTGGAACTTGCATCCCCAACTCCCCCCACCTTTGGGGAGGCAAAAGAGACTGGAGATTGACTTGATCCCCAAGAGGCAATGATTTAATCAATCTCACCTATGTAATGGAGTATCCATAAAACTCTAAGCTATGGAATTCAAAGAACTTCCAGGTTGTGAACACATACATCACAGTGCTGGGAGAGTGGTGCATTCGGAGAGGCACGCTCCCTTGCCCCAAACCTACCCTGTATGCTTCTTCCGTCTGGGTGTTTCTGAGTTGTATCCTTTATAATAAACCAGTAAACAAAAGTAAAGTGTTTTTCTGCACTCTGTGACCATTCCAGCTAATTATTACACCTGAGGAGGGGATGGTGGAAAAGCTCAATTTATACCCAGTCGGTCAGAAATACAAGTGACAATACGGGTCTTATGATTGGCATCTGAAGTTGGGGGGCAAGCCTATGGGATTGAGCCCTTAAGTCTGAGGATTCTATGCTAGTTCAGGTCGTTTGTATCACAACTGAGTTAAATCATAGAATACTCAGCATGTGCTGAGAGTTGAAGAATTCCTGGGTGTGGAAAAACCCACACATTTGGTGTCAGGAGTATTCTATGAGTAGAGAGGAAAACAACAGTTTTCCTTCAGCTGATATTCCTTTTAAGGGTGTAGAAGACCTCTACCTCTAGAGGGGAGAACATAATTTCTGTACAGTGCAGAGTACAAGCACCATGAGGTCAGGAGCTGCACAGTCTTGTTTGCCATGTATCCTGTGCACCTGCCCAGCATAATACATGGCAATGAACATGTGCTCAAAAAATACATTGAATGAATGAATACCAGTCTAGCATTGCTTCACTGATGAGAGGGTACTCCTGAAGCTTCATCTGGTTAATGCCACCCTTCAGGCTGCCCAAGTTGCCCTCCCTCAGGAAAAACAGAACGAGTGTACATTCAGATCTTGAGAGTGGTCATCCAGAATATATACCCATGAAAAAGTAAGGCTATTCAGGTTAAGTAATGACACACTTGGTTTGCAAATAACACATGTTCATTTCCATGTTGCTAAAGACTCCGTGCTAGGAAACGAAACACTTGTAATTTAATATGTAATGTTCTCAGACTCTGAGGCCAAACCACCTCAAGTTGTGAACATCTTGGCTCTGAAGAGCCAGTCAGGGTCAGGGCAGGGCAGTAGTTGGCCTGATGCCCTTCCAGAATAAACCAAACAGCTACAGGAAGTGGTTTCCGTGATTCAGTAGGTGGCACACTTCCTTTTGAGTCAGAACTGAATCATGGCCGTGAGAGGCAAAAAAGACCCATTTCTTTATCCCAGTTTTTCCCTATTCCCAATAGTAAATTTGTCACAGTTTGTCATATGATATATCCTGTTTAGTTTAATGTGTTTAACCAAAAGGAAAAGAAAAAAAATAGCAAATCAACTATGAGGAGGCAAGAAGGGAGTGGGAAACACGGCAAACTGAAATGAATCCAGGCATCACTGTTTCATCAGAGAGCCATATTCACCCAGGAGATTGAAAGAAAAGCCATAATCAGATTTCACTGGGGTTATTAAGGTCCCTGGTTCTCTTGACTTGAATCTGACCCATTTCCAGTGGAAGCAATTAGATCACACTTATATAAACTGTGTTGCTTTAAATGGCCCTGCTCTCCTCGCTCCCTGACCCTGGCTTACTCCCCACCTCGTCTGCTGGAAGGCTGCTCTGGTGCTGTCCCAGGCATGGCCCTAGTTCAGCCGTGGGTGAAATGATCCTGTTCTGAATGTACTGAATGCTGCTGGCAATGCTGTAAATTGTTTTGAGGCTTAAAGAAAAGCCCCATGGATATCAACAAGTCATAAAAACAGACATATTTTCCCCCCATCCTTTTCCCAGTGTGTCTTTTATTCTTCAATATAGTTCTGGGAATGGAAACATATTTATCCATATTTTCATCTGCCTAATTAGATTTTACTTTGAGTTCTTTGCTCCCTTCTACTTCAATTTGTTCAGATTGGTTCATGATTTAGAACTAAGATTCAGAGACTCACATTATACATACATCCTGTATTTGTAATCACTCTTAGAAGACTGACAACCAGTCTAGAATCAGAAATCTTACTGCCATGTTAATATTCCACAGTTCCTTCTGCAAACTATTCCAACAAAGAATACAAGATTCAAAGACACATAGACCTGTGTTCAGATTAAAGCTCAAGAAAAAAACTGTAGAACTGTGTGACCGTGGGTAAGTCTCAACCTCTCTGGGCCATAGTTTTCTCAGTCTGTAAAATGGGATTCTAGCATAAGGACACTATTACTGTGAGAAAACTAAATATAGCTTTTACATAGTGCCTCGGACAGCTCCTAGCTCATATTTGGTATTTAAAATAAACTTGTGCCCTTTCTCTTTATTTACAATACCTTTCTATTGGGAGGTAAGAACAGCACTTGGACCCAGCTGCATGAGCACACTAGGTCTCGTCCTTCTCTCAGACGTCAGTCCCGTCCAGCTCCATTAGCGTTTTCATCAACAGCGCCCGCAGCACATGTGATCCCAAATGGCATCCTTCATGGAGTGCTGGAGCAGCCCAGCCAGGAAGCAGCCTTTAAAGCCAAAGCCAGATCTTCTGTACAGGACAGCTGTGTCTGATAGATGACAGCCAAGTGTGAAGGGAGTCCTTATCTGACACACTGAAGGCAGCACCTAGAGGAAGGGCAGGGAAGAGAACCATCAAGAGCACTGACAGGCCAGACAGAGCAGCTGTGAGAACCCAGGTCACGTAGGGCGGCGACGGCTGGCAGACAGGCAGAAATGTGAACGCACTGTTAGATTTGAAAAACTCTTCGGCAACATCCATCCTCCCATAACCCCGTGATGCCTCCATAGCCCTTCAGGTCCTCCCAGATAGCCATACACAGAGGGTGATGGCTTTTAGAAAAGAGTAGTCCCCTTCTCCACCCCCAAAATTAAGGTCGAAAACATCATCTTGTACTTACCTGTCTTAGAGCCATTACTTCATATCTTGTGGTTGCCTGGTACCTGTCTCTTCCACTAGACTGTGAGCCCCTAAAGGCAAGGAATGTGTTTTATCCTTTAACCAACCCTTACCTGTAGCTCAGTGCCTAATCCATAACAGGTGCTCAACCAATGTTTGCTAACAGGAAAGAAATACAAGAAGTTGAAGCCAGAAAGACCATGAGAAAATTTGAAACAGGGGGCTTCTGAGGCCCAGGTCCCCTAGGAGCACGGGCTGGATAGCTTGTTTTGAGGTAAGGAGTCAGAAGTCAGAAGAACTCCTAGTGTGACAATGTGGGGAAAAGAGGGTGGAAACCGTTTTGAAAATTGCACTTCTGGGCAGTCCAAGCCGGACACAGGATTTCTGGAGGTCTGGGCATTGTCTGAGTGGCGTGTTGATTGTGTGTCTGCTGGAGGCTTCTGGTTAAACAGCTACCGGAGTGCGATGACTCAGCAGCGGGAGGATGGAACACTCCTAGGCTGCCTCCTGCTTTAAGTGACAAATCCCTTCGCCCTGGGTGTCTGTGGCGGTCTCTGATATGACACTTGATAGCTCCTTTCTTGCCAGCCCATCAACTGGGATGCCCAGTCACCCAGTGGTAATCTGGAGGTAGGTGAGTTGCTTGACTGGCAAAATTTTATGCCTCAAGTGTAGAGGCTCCTCTGAAAAATGGACTTAACAATGTGTTCCATTTCTGAAATTTAGAAACTGCTTTAACATTTTTATTTTATCTTCCTACTAAGAACTTTTGATTGTCTTCAGGATAAAGTCAAAATCCTGGCAATTGAGGTCCTGCAGAAACTAATAAAGGAGCACCTTCTCAGTACCGTAGTTCCTAACTATTGATGACGGGGTTCTTGTTCACGAAGCCGAAGAATGAGCTTCACAAACACTCAAGGTAGGAGAGCAAGGTACAGGCTTTTATTTAGAGAGAAAGTGAGAGGACAGAGCTCCCGGCTCACTCCAGGAGGGGACAAGAGAGTCCGTGGTTGGCTCGTTGTCTAGGGGTTTTATGCGCCCTTGAGGATTTTCAGGAATGAGGGTAAAGGGTTAGGGGTGCAGACTTGTTGAGTGGTCCCAGAATGCCCATTCTTGGTGAGTAACAGAAGAAATTTTCTGCTCTGATTCTTTCTCAAGATAATCAGTTTCCCTCTGGGAGCATGTCAATTAAGACTGCCTACCCTGCCCCAAAGGTGGGCTGGGTTGTTGCCTGTTTGCTGAAGTAAATTAAGAATCTTACTTCTTAACTTCTTGGGTTGTTTATAGTTGGGCTTGCTTACTAAATTAGTCTTTTTCCTAGGTTGCAGATTACTTGGTTAGGATCAGAGAAGGAAATATATATAGTACATAGGTATGGTTAAAATAAACTGGGTCTTTTAGCAGGCTAAGGTAAATTTTACAGTGTCATGATTTAAATTGATACAATGAAGTCATGGGTTATGCTGAGACACTTTTCTTTATCTGCAGAACACTCAAACATTCCAGGCCAAGTTGCTGCTGGCCTTTTGAGTTTTAACTGATCTCACTGAAGATGTCTATAATCCTAGTCTGGTATCTTTACCCTAGAGAATTAGTGTGACTCTGACTTTGCTTAATGCTTATCACAGAGTTTCAATAGGGACTTCTTTGCACGTTGCTACATTGTTCTGATGGTAATTATCTTGCTCTGCTTTTTTCTCCAGAGGCCCTCACCCTACTCTGCCTAATCTCACTGTCCCTGTCTCACTATGTTTTATTTGTTGCTTTCCCTTAACACTGGCTTGCTACATTTTTGTTTCTCTGTTTTTGTCCCTGGCAGATAAACAGCAGCAGGACAAAACTTTAAGAAAGAGGCCTGGGAGGAAATCCTATCTAGTAGCTGTTTCCTGAGAATTGCAGAAGTTACCATTATTAAAATCTAGCAGCACACCCTTTTATATTGGTCACTAAAAAGCAGTGTTGTCTGGATTTTCTGTTTGACAAATGCTGGCCAGCTTTCAAGTTTGGGATCCAAGAATAGCACAAACATAAGGGTCAAAAACTGTAACTGCGGGATTCTATAAATTAAATTTGTGAATTGGACTAGCTGTGCAAAGTGCTATGCCTGAAAAGAATTAAGATTGAAGCTTTTATTTTTAATTAAGCACTCTGTTTAAACGCCTGCAGGGATGATTCAACTTTCAGATCACATTTTTGTAACCCCTAGTTCAAATTAAGGAAGTAATGCTTACTGTCTATAAACTCTGCTCTTCATCTCTAATACCATCTTCCCACTCCCTCAAAACAGCCTTTCTGATGAGAATTTTCTCAGCCACACCAGTATAGTCACTGGCGAGCAAGGGTTTGCTCACACATTTTGTCTTTCCTCAGAGCTTAGGTGAGTAGGTCCAGTACAGGTATTGGTACTTACTATTATTCATTTGATTTGCATTTGAAAGAGGACCTCTCCACCTGCCTACAACCTCTGCAGATTGCATGCAACGATAATGGTGAATTGTGGCTTTAGTGTTTAACCCCCAGGGTTTTCATCGTCAACTTAATTATTATTTGCAATAATAATTTCACTTGGCAAACGGTGTAATTCTACAAATCCCTTTTGGAGCTTAGAGAGAAATGTTCCACTTGAGATAAATGTTGGGTAACAGAAATAAAGAGAGAAAATATTCAGATGTTTTTGTGACTCTAATTCACTTGCAAATTTCATTTTTTCTCCTTCGAGATATGCAGTGGTTTGGCATCCTTAGGAAATCCATTTTGGATTGCTTATAATAATTTTTAACTCTATTGAAGAGTGAAATAAAATAAAACAACACTGTTTCATGAGTTTATTGTAGACATTTAAAATTATGTAGATATGCATACAGAGAAACCCTGAAACATCTACAATCTCACAACCCAGAAATAACCACAATTAATATTCTGGAGTTCCCAAAGTTTTTCCATGTACAAGGAATCATACTGAACATACTACTTTGTTACTTTTGAAGTTTAATAATAGGTGATGAACCTCTTAATATAGCAACTTAATTGCTATAGTGATTTATTATTTTATGGCTTTTTTCATAATATAGTTAACTGGTCTTCCTTATTTTTCTCACTATTATATGAATGCTACAAAGACACTTTTGTAAATAAATATTTGTCTGAATCTCTTACTCAGACCCTACAAGCAGGGTTTCTGAATTGAAGGTCATGATTTTTCTTAAGTTCTTTTTAATAAATGGTACAATGTCTCCTTAGAAAAGGTATATCAATTTATACTCCTATAAGAATATAGATATTTTAGAATCACCATGACAATCTCTGCTGCCAAATACCTTTATAATAAAAGTGTGTGTGTGTGTGTGTGTGTGTGTGTGTGTGTGTGTGTGTGTGTGTGAATTAACAAATACTGAACCTCCTAAATGCCAGGCAGTGTTCCGGGCAGTAGAAGAGTGAGCAGGCAGGCAAGGACCCTGTCTCAGCTTAAATTTTATTGATGGAATTGAACAATAGGCGAATAATATTATTTCAGACTGTGATATAAGCTGTGAAGAAGAGTAAAGCAGTGTGTGCATGCATAGTGTGAAAGTGGGGTGGGGAGGATGCATCACTAATTTTGATAGAGGGTTATATAAGCCCACTATAAAGATGCAACATCAAAATGCAAACTGTTTCCTAAACTAATATCTGATTATTTCAGGAAACTTGTGGACAAGTATAAAGAGAAAATTTAAAGTAACTTATAATCCTAGCAATTCAGTTTATTATCTTTTTGGTTTTTGTTTCATCACACACACACACACACACACACACGTGTGTGTCCATCTTATATATTATTAGGTTATTGCTAAATATACTCTGCATAGTCACAGTAGACAATAGTAGTCAGAAGTTTGTAGTCTAGTGAGAAGATTCAGCACTCAGAAATTTAGGATTTTATTCTGTGGGCTACCAAGAGTTTTGCAATTGCAGTATCCATTGGTAACATGGTTTAAAATACTCCCTTTCCTTCTTTCTCCTAAAAAGGCTAAAAGGCATATATACAGGTTTGCTTTTTTAATTAAAGTGGATAAAAACTTATTCCCTTGGGTAGAAATATCTGCAACCACCTAGAGATCATTGGAGAAATCGCAAAAAGCCAAAGGATAGGCTCTAGGAATTACGGTTTTGAGATGAATACTACTAGGAGGAAAAAACTTGCTAAAGCAGTCTTGTTAATTCTTGGAGGATATCCTCCCACCTCTGAAAAAAACAGGCAGTTCCCTCTCTGTCAGGCCTCTAAATAGCACCATTCTGTTTCACAGATTTGTGAATATGAGGAGTCTTTTCAGACCCATTTTTTTTCCTTAGAGCCCATATCCATCGCATCAGCAAGTCCTGTTGGCTCTACTTTCAAATTAAATCCCCACTCTGCCCATTTACCACTACCTCTCTTGTTACCACTGTGCTGCACAGCACCACTGCTCACCCGATGTTGCTGGCTACTCCTAACTGGTCTACTTTCAAACTTGGCTGCCTCCTCCTGACCTGTCCCTCCTCCCCACCTGGCCCCCACACACTCAAATAATCTTTTCCCCACAGAACAGCCAAGGCAGCTATATCTCTATATCAGGATCTGGGCAGGAAACAGATGCAGTACATAAATTGGCTATTTTTTTTATTGTTTAATAATGGAACAATTTTAAAAGGTAAGGATAGGTTTCAGGGAAATCAAAAAGGAATAAGGTGGTATCCCAGGAAGCAGAATGTGCTTACCAGAATCCAGAAAGGGGAATACCCAGCCCTCAGCCAGCCCAAGTTCTCTCATGCCCTCCCTAGAGTCCCATCCTGTTCATCTGGGTGCTCAGCTGGAGGAGGAGAGTAGAGAGTACATCTAGAGGGGCAAATAGAAGGAATCCTTTAAAAATATAAATCAGAGAATTTCTTTCCCTATGCCAGCCCCTTAAATGTGTGCCATCTGATGATCAGTGGGACATACATTTCCCCTCTTAACGTTTCTTTCAGGGGGGTAGTATTCCTAAACAATTCCCTCGCTCCTCCCTCTAGACACTGCTCCTGGGATGATGGACTGACTCAGCTGATTGCTGAGAGTGGGACAGAGCTCCAGGCTGGCACGTCACCCCTTGGGAGTGAGCTGACCAGCAGAGAGTGGGCACTCACTCTGTAATATGTTCTTAAAATTAGAAGAACAGCCACCTTCTATGTCTTCCTTGGGCTGCCTTAGCCCCCGTCAATAAATGTACTGCTCAGTGGTGCTTTCTGCCTAATATTCAGGTTCAGTATTAGCAAGTCTACTTGGCTCACCAACACAAAGCAGCATCTAACAACTGCACCTCCATCAGTAATAAAGCTACTAGGTCAGAGGCCATCTTTGCTTTAAAACAGAATTTCTTCCTTCATTCACTCACCAAGTATTTTTTGAAAGCCTGTGATTTGCCAGATGCTGTTCTGCTCTTGGGATACATGAAAGGAGGGGAAGCTCAGAAAAACATAAAAACCCTTTGCTATATTTCATCAACTACTTAAAATCTGGATGGGGAAAATGGGTACAATTTATTGGTGTTCTCTTCTGAGGACTTTAACTTTATTCAGAGTAAAGTTCTGGTTAAAATATAAAGTTCTCATACAAGGCTCTGCCTGATACAAGGCTTGTTCCTTCTCTTCATCTCCCATCACACTCCCTTTCTCCCTTGGCTTGGCTTCCCTGCTGGCCTGGGAACACGATGCTCACACTCACTCCTCTGTTTTGCACATGCTGTTCCCTCCTCCTGGACCGCTCCTCCCCTAGAAGGCCACATGATCTGTCTCACTTCTGTCAGGCCTCTGTTCAGACTTCATCACCACGGTGAGGTTTTTCCCATCCACCTGTATAAAATGAGCCCCTCACTTCTGTTTCTCGTCTTTCTCTATTTCTCTTGCCCAGTTTTATTGTTCTTCATAACACTTATTACCACCACATGTATGTGTTGAATGTTCAGAAAAGTGACTGGCGCAGACGAAGCACTTGATGTCAACAGTGATGAGGACCATATCCATGCACTTAAGTGATGCTTTACTGTCTGCCAGGCCCTGTTCTAAGAGCTTTACAGCTATTAGCTCATTAATACTGTATCATATCCCTTCATATCAATCTGTTTTTATTTGCTTTTTACAGATAAAGAAGCTGAAGCATAGAGAGGTTTTGTAATTTGCCCAAGGTCACAGAGCTTGCAAGCAATGGACGGAGATTGAAATGCAGAATTATACCCCCAATGAGAATTATAAACCGTAGTGGAATAGGGGCTTTGTTTTGGTCGTGCTCTAGCCCCAGGGCATAGAATAGTGCCTGGCACTTAGTATGACTATATTAATAAATGAACAAATGATATTACCTGCTTCTTAAAGTTCTGGAGATTAAAAATATTAATACATGTAAAAAGTTTAAATCATGCCTGGCACACAGAGCTCAATAAAGATTTTTAAATTAAAAAAAAAGCTATCCAGAGCTGACTTCTGGTTAACCTTAGTCTACATTAATATCCTCTATCTTTGAGCAGCAGTTAGATATTGTAATATGCTCTCAAAACTAGAAGAACAGTTCTCAAGCTATGCTCAAACCTATTATTGATGGACTATGATCTGGAGTGATGGCTTCTGTGCTAAAATCAAATAATGGAATTTTCCCAACTCTCAGAAAAGTCTCAAATAAGTGGATAAAATCTTTAAAATTTTAGATTTTTTTTTCTCATGAATATTTCTTAAAACATCAGCGATTACATCTTATCTGCTGGGTACAAAAGTGAGTGAACATGTAGCCAACACAGGCTGTTAATGTTAACAGGAAAAGATGGAAACTGCCCTAATTGGAAACCAGGAAGCAGCCTTGTTTTATTTATAAATATAAGAGCAAGGGAGTGTAATTTACAATACCAACACTGGATATTCTGGAAAAATAAATACAATATGCATAAATATTTACATATCTAATAGACATCTGTATCTAGATACAGATACATAGATAAGTCTTTTTGTATTCAGTCAGTTTTTTGGATTGGAATAAATATGTATATAGTTTATCATGCAACATGAAGAGCACCTTGCCTTCCAGGATGTTCTGCTTCCCAAGCACATTAGAGAACCATTGAGCTTGGAAAGCAAGAACAAAAAAAAATAAAAACATAGCCAACCAGTGTCACAGAGATTTCCCCTGGCTCACTCATCACATAAACGAGGAAACCTTTAAGGACTTCAGCAGAGCTATGTTTTCAGTATAACTTTTGATCTGAAGTTTCTTTCCACCCACATGGAACTCATTCAAGTGTTTAGAGTACCAAGAAATGTACTGCTACAATGTTACCCAGGCACTATAAAGAGAACTCATAGATCACTTTTTAAAAGAAATATAACTATTACGAAAATCATGATGTTGTTCCCCAGTGGTAAAGCCTCTAAAAGAAAACTAGAATGCATTTTTTAAAAGTTATCCAGTAGCCTAGTATTATCTTGCTTAATTATTTTTGCAAAGTAATCATCTCAATGCAGCCCCTGGATGGCAAGAAAAAGGCTGCAGCTTAAGAGTAAAAATGTGAAAATACCATGTCATTTGAAGGGTCTAATTATGTTTTTGGACAGGGCACTGAACTGTAGCTATTTTCATTAGTGGGCATTGACT